GAAAGTGTAGTAATTTTTTTTAGTTTTACTCAACTATTAATAATAGGGAGGTTTCGTGTGAATTCCTACGAAATGGCTGGCATTCAGTTCCGCGTGAGCGTCGTTATAGTAGTTAGAGTCCACCGCCATTATACAATGTAGTGGCACGATGCACGCGACCTACTTGATTTATACAACACACGTCTTTATCCTCAATCACGATAGTTACTGTACAATAAATTTAAATTGTTCACGTTTTCCAATGGGATCCTCCTCTTATAATACTCATGGGCCTCCTTCGATGAAAACCCCGCTCTTCTAAACCGAGTAGGTTTACATATATATGTAAATATCTCAACTATTTGGTGCTATCATACGCATCTCCCCTAGCTTTGATATATGGCACAAGTTCAGTTCAAAAGTGAATGTTTACATAAATTCAGAACGCACTTTCAGGTGATTAAGCTTCAGCACCGCTGTGCAGTTCACTGAGCTTATAAAGATCAGTGCACACCAGTGGCGCGTGCTAACGTTATTATATTGTTGATATTTTAATAAGCTGTTTTCTAACTGAAGGTTTGCGCTTATATTTCCCTAACGGTGTATAGAAATTTGCATTTTTTCTAAGTTATGTTATCAAGGTCGTGGTAAATGCTGGTAAAAATTGAACACAATAGCGGTCTCCATTTGTCATTAGCAATTTAACAACCGCGGTTCCTATACACCACTATCTACATCAAAGAAAAATTTGTTAAAAGTATTGTTATAGCCTTGGATCCACGAATGAAAAACGCATCTCGCTTCGGTTGAGAAATGAGAGAGACCATAAACTATTATGGCAAAGAAAACATCAAAAATTAATGCTTCAAGATTCCCTTTTCTATAATTTAAAAAAGCTTCTAAATAGAAAGATACTATGATCTAACACGTCGCTACAACAATGAAAAAATTAATGGCAGCCATATTTATTTACAGAGTCTGTCCTTGACGCGTCGGTGTAACTGTAGAGCTTGACATGCACGCATCGTTCATCGCCTGCCTGACACACGCCTCTGGTGGTGAAGGCCTATTGTCTGCCGCAACTAATGGCTATTAGCGGGAAAGCCTGTTGGTGTAAGGTCCCATAAATTATATTGCAGTGTGATATTTGCTTAGATTCAGATAAAATTTTAGACGATTTTGTAATCAAACTTTTTGGTCGAGTGAAATTTATTATTTTTCTCCTAACAATTTTAGCACGGTCTCTTGAATCGTTCTCCTGGCGTATAAAATACGTGACGTTAGCTGTAAGCACTAATTTTACAAGTCTAGCAGGTAAAAAAAAATACGAAATAAAAAATTAAATAAAAAAGAGTGTCTCTCAACCATTTCTGGCAGCAAATTCTTATTCTGGAGAAGCGTGTTACAATACTGGTATGAAGTCATAAAGCCGAAATTCCCCAGAGCCATTCTAACGCCATTTAGAGCACCTCCGTTCCAGTGAAAGTGGATCTAAGTGGCATCCCTGATGCAATTAGCACGCCTAAGTAAGCCCTATTAGTTGCCTGAAACAACTAACTAGCATGCAATAGTACTATGATTAATAACTTAATATAATATAAGAATACTCTCAAACGTATAATTTTATAGATATTTATTAATATCGTGGTGATCCGGAAGTTAAGGCGCTCGCTTCTCATACATAGATTGCGAGTTCGAAACCTGGCAAGGACTTTTTATGTATATTGAGACACCACTGACAAAACGGTTAGGGAAAAATCATGAGGAAATTTGGACTACTATAATTCGAAATCGCCAGTCCATCTTGGGCAAGCGTGGTGATTAATGCTCAATCTGTCTGCCTATTCTTATACTATAGGCTGAAAAATATAGAGATGTTTAGTAACTAGGTACATTCTTCTAGAAATTCCTTCCCTGCCTGTAATCATTACCATACCTTATTTCCTCAGAATATTTGCATGAATATACATTAAACATCGCTAACCAAACTTTCGCTTTATGACATTAGTTATGAACCAACACTGAATATGACACGCTCAATATCTGACAGCTAATCTGTACTCACATCTCCCAGTCAATGAGGCAAAGTGTTTTAATGAATGGTCGGTATTTACAACATTGTCAGTACGTCCCTAATCCCGGAGCTTTTGGTGTTTGACACTTGAACCAGTGCCGTGCCGACGAGACAATAAGTCCCCGGGAGATCCCCACAATTAGGGTGAACACCCTTCGACAATTACACGTCGCACGAAACGCGCTTAATGGCAAGGATTACGTTACGAATAAGTGAAATGCGAAAACGGGAACTCTTAGGGCTGCACAGCACTATTGTGACATATTTTTTAATTAGAAAATTGTTCTTTTTAAAGGGGTGCCGTTAAAAAAACTTGCAGGGTTTGTGTTACGCTGTTGACGCTTTTGATATAGCTATTAGTTTCCGATTTCATTTTGATTGATAGATAAAATACATCAATAACTTTCAATAACTAGGTAATTTTGGCTAAGTGCCTCATTGAGTAGTTTTTTATTCTGGGTTTTTGAAGTACTTTAGCACTAGCTTGGGACTTGTTCTATTACAAAAACTCCGACATAATACATGACAAAAAAAATGCGCTTGAACACACTTCACCAATGGTTACCTCCATTAAAACATAATATAATAGGCCAAGGTAAAATTTTGAATTTATTTTTCGCTTCCAACGTCAATTAACAAAGGTTTGGCAGCCCTGTGGACATGTAACAGAATTCACAGTCATTTAGAGGTCAGTTAATCACAGTACGGAGATGATTTCCCGGACCCCGGGTCGCCGGTAATGGCCACGGTTATCCGGTCCCGAGCCGGGTAACGTACGGACGAACTAATCAATTAATTTCATCAACATTAAACTGATGGCAGGGTTGTGTGGACTTGTTGCTAATGTGGCGAAGGTAAATGGCGGTTATTATCATCGTTTATGATAATGGTATAACAACGGGTTCGTAAATTGAATTATGTGTTTAATTATTTTGCGCAATTATGTGGCAGGTGTGAACAGTCTATTCTTTAATCTCGAAAGAAATCAGATTCTCTTGCTAAATTTAAAACTGTACAAGTTACTAAAAGATTTTTATACGCGTTCAAAAATCAATAATACTTTGTCGAACCTTTCGCTTGCAAGCAGTTTTGAACGTCAACAGATTTTTAAAAGTAAAAAGAAATAAACTGCCTTACTCATATCATCTTTAGCGTGTTTCTCAGACGAAGATGAAGCGATATCTAAGCTAGGGGTGTATTTACATTTCAATCGATCAATTGTGTTGTTCATCTTAAAAGTGAGTGGGGTAACAACAAAAGTCGGCTCCCCTTACACAGTTACGGAAATAACAACAATTCTACAAACTGACGAATTATTAATGATAAATAAACCAACCGACGCTGAGGGATATGGTATGTTACTTTAATATCATAAAATATTACTGTGACTGAAAATTTTTAGCGCATACTCTAGTTAGAGGTTATAATTACATTAAATTGTTTCATTTATTTATTTATTTTATAAGTGCATACACATAACAGAACTTTACGTATCAATGAATACAACCAAAACTAAATAATTTCTTGAAAAGGTATCAGAGGTTAGCCATTATTTGTCCTAAATACACCTAAACACTTTTTGGATTACGCATCTTTCAAGAATTGTAGTATGTGAAGAACCTATCTTCCGAGTATACCTACCCACTATCACCTGCTCTACAGGAGGCACCCTTAAGCAGACAATGAAGACAGTCTGTGTCTCCCAAAGGCTTATAAAAACTAACACAATCCATTCATCTTTATATCAAACTACAGTATCATCCTATATTTCACCAACGGGTAATCAAAGTGAAATCGATACGCTGCCTCACGTAACTCCTGTGCCGTCGTATGGCACATTAGAGGCGCACCTCTACTGCACTAATGGACGACTGCTAGAGGGGCGAAATGGATTGCAAGTGAAATGTATTGCATTCTGCCAGCCAATGTTTACGATACTTTACTGATATCACCTATTCGCTACTCACGTACTGCCTAGCTACTTAGTACCATTAAACGTACTGTTAAAATAATTGACAAACGATGAAATCGACAGGTTTTTTTAAGAATGTCATTATTTTTGAGTCTATCAGTGAGTCCTGATTATTTCAATTTATGTTTTTATTTTTTGATGAAGATAAATATCATTTTCTGGTTGGTATAGCTGTTCCGTTCTAATTTCAACATTTTAAAATTACTAAAATCACTTGTAATGTTTAACTGCAGTCAGAAAATGTATAGCAATAGATCATTTAAGTCTGACACGTTACTAGAGAAAAATATACCTAGATACTTTATACGAAATTTTAAAATAAAAAAATACTAACACAATATTACGTACACTTTCAACAAATAACGGGACGAATATTTAAAAAACATAGTTTTTTCTGGAACATTCCATCTTGATTGTCACCGAAGTCTACATAGTACACAACATAATAAATTCACTAGATGTAACACACGTTGGTGTTGCCACCCTCGCTAGAACCGTGCCTTCTATATTTGCTTAGTTCTGTATTACTAGAACGGGGGCTGTATTATTAAACTTACATTTAGACGTCACATAATGCCTCAATTCCTCCAGGGTACTATTTAGTTTACTTTAGTTTTAGTTTACTCACTTGTCAGTAGAATTTTGAATTATACTTAATACTTACAACTACTTCTGTGTAAATTCGAGTGAAACTTCAAATTATGTCGTCCTAATTTTTAATGTGTCAAAAAACTTACTTATTCTTAAAAAATATCGAAAATTTATTGTATAATCAGATCGATGAATATAAGTATAGTTATCATTCAACATTTTATTGTATTGAAACGTCGAATTAACTAATTTTTGAGCTAGGAACTACCCAACTGTAGCTGTAACACCAACGTGTAGTATATTTATTATGTTGTCTACCAGGTAGACTTAGGTATTTATTTGTATATACTTATACTGATTGTAAGTTAGTAGTTCTTACTATACCTTGTAACGTGTATGCAGTTCGCTGCGGTTGCATTCCAGGCGCGGCAGTGACGCCAGCGCGCGACGTGTTGTGCAGCGACAACGCGCCCAGCAAGTCTAGCTCGGTGGCTGCAACAAACAGACAACAACTTCAATTACATATAGTATACTAATACTAGTCGGCATGGCAAACTTCGTTCCACTTCAAAATTAACTTATGTTTTCGTTTTTTTGAAACCTTTCGTGGACTTTCACGAGTAATTCAAAACCAGAATTATCCAAATCGGTAAAGGCATTGTTGAGTTATAACATTACAACGAAAAGTGGTATTGATTTTTTTACATATACTTACATTACAAAGAAATACAATTTATAAGTTTGTATGTAATAAGGGGTAATCTTTGGAACCGCTGGTCTGATTGCCAAAATTCTTTCACAGATAGACAGCTATAATTTTCCTGAGTACGATCGGTTATAAAACATCAACCTACGACCAATAAGAGCCAAGTAGCGGTTGAAACCTTACGGCAGTCACTAGCTATTCACAAAGGATAATGCATGGAAATATTCGAAAGTCTTTTGTATCTATGGCCATTTTTCACATTCATAGAGCATAAGCATTAGTTTAGCTTTTCAGTCAAAGTCAAAAGTGGATAAATATAAGCGTGACCCAGTTTCATACAAGAATCGACATCGAAAAACTTAACTAAGTCAACCAGACTGACGAGCCAATCAAAACACCTATCTCCTTAACTTTCCGGGTGCAATGACCTCTATCGGCAACCGGAAAAATATTTCTTACATAAACCTATTTGGACCGGGATAACCGGGTCACGAGTGTCCCCAGACGTATTCAGAAGTTCGACGCGAAATGTTCAGAACATTGTGAAATTAAAATGAATGTTCTGTTTCTGAACGTTCTTGTCAGACTTTATGTTGTCAGACGCCTGTATATTTCAGAACACGTTTTCAATTACCAAGAAGAAACCACATTCTTTTTAAATGTAAGATACGAATCTCAATTACATTTGACATATTTGTTATTCATATCACATACATATGTATATGTATTTGTATGTTTCTTGTCTTGTATATGCATTCACAGCATAATAAACGGGTTTCCTTTCTCTTTTCTTTTTTTTCATAAACGTCTTATTATAATTTTACAGGATACATAAATAAATACCATATCATAAAATCTTATCTCTAAAGAGCAAAGAGAAAAGATAGGAAAACCAGAACAAGCGAAGCATTTTCCTTAATTAAGAGAATTTTTCTCTCGGCTTTAGTTTCGAAATAACCCACACCGACAGATTTTGATTTTGACTCGAATTCATTGATAACAAATAAGCTATGTCCAAGCTAACCTCAGAATAAAAAGGGTAACACCCTGCAACATTGTATTTAAACGTCACGTAAATCCTTCCTTTCGGCTGTAAAAAGTTCGCTTCACGAGGAATTATGACAGAAGCCGTAAAGGGTCTATGGCGGAAAATGATACAGCAGTATATCGTAGGTTATTGTTTTTCTAGATACGAGTGTATAATGAATATTTACGACATAATAAACTCGAACTGCCCTACATTCGTACAATCAATAAGGGTAAAGGAATACAAAAATTTCGGAGCCGGCCCCCACTGTATCGATCTATCCACTGTTTAAAGTTGGAACTCTTTTTACCCTAGATGGATTATTTAAATTATGGATCTTACAGATTTTTTTTTAAATATGAATGGAACACTAGGATTTTCTCCTGTATTGTGGGTGCGGTTACAAACATACACATCACACCCAGAGTCCCAGACCCGAAACAACAAATTGTCATCACATGATTTGATTTGTAGATCACAAGAAGACTGGTTTCGTGCGGGAATCGAATCCCCGACACGTTGCACGGCAATCAGTTGCCCAACCACTGCACCAACCGTGCAATCAAACAATTAATTATATTTTATATTCAATAGCTCGTAAAAACATCAGACCTGTTTTAATTTTTTTAACAAAAATAATTCTTGACAAAGCTATAGTCGACAAATGTTCTACGATAGATGTACTCATTTTTTGTCCTTCAGAAACTAAAAGTCTGAATTTCAATTTCGAAATTCCAAACAGGATTTCGAAGCCTGGAAACACGTCCGATGTATGGTAATTGGCTGGTCTATATTAGAAGATATTCGCTTGTAGAATTTGGCACTATTGTAGAGAATGTAGAGTGTGGAGGCATTTAGTAGACGTGTTAGCGGAGTGCCATCTATCATTGTAACCCGGTCACGTAGCGCTACACCGCGTAGCCGCTACTACGAGGCTACGAGCTCACTGTACTCAGAAATATATACATTATTTAAAATGCTGTTCTTCTTTTCTTTATTATACAACTACCTGTATTATGTTAAGCTTTATGTATGTACAGGTTCGTAGTAAAATAATAAATATAAAACTTTATTTAAATCCAACAACGTGTTAATCAATTAGTTTGAAGCGACCGTAATGATATTAGTTAATAGTATAATATTTTAAAAATAGTGTAATCGAGTGTTGACACCATATTATGAAACATGCAAACACGTGTCGTGTCAAAAGAGCTTAGTGCCACACGTTGCGAGTGCTCCTGACACTTGTGAAGAGGGCACTGCGTTCATGATGATGATGACACCTCTTTTTTGAGAAAATTAAGACTAAAACATAATAGAGACTCTTTTACAAATAAAAATGATTTTGTATGCATTATATGATTTATTTATACAGAGAGATTATAAATATATAAGTTAACACAATACTAGAATCAGCGCAGTGCAGTGAGACTTTTTATGTAGCATACAGCAAACTAAACGATGTAAACATGATATCGAGCGAGAAAAACTATCCAAATATAGGTTTTTTTATACGTAATAGGTCGGCAAACGAGCAGACGGATTACCTGATGGTAAGCAATCAGCGCCGCCAATGGACACTCGCAACGGAGGAGTTACGAGTGCGTTGCCGACCTTTAAGAGATTAGGGATTTGGAGATTTAGGGATTGATGAGGGATTGGGGAAGGGGAAGGATTGGGCCTCCGGTAACCTCACTTACACGGCGAAACACAACGCAGTGGTTATTTCACGCCGGTTTTCTGTGAGGCCGTGGTATCACTCCGGTCGAGCCGACCCATTCGTGCCGAAGCATGGCTCTCCCACACTTGGGTATAGTAATAATTTAGGTATAGTAATAATGACCAAAATACGTTGATAACATTCTCGGAAAACATGAAACACGAATAAACTCTCTTCTTGAATTAACAAGCGCCACAGATTGTGTCAAGGGCCCTCTCTCAAAAGAACCCGCAATTTGCAACGCCTCTGTAGTACGGACTGTATACATAGCTTCTACTTGTAACTATAAATTGTAACGAAACTATTATTTTATTTACTACACACATTTTTCTCGATGTCCGGAAAATATAAACACCATATGTATAAACATTGATAAATACAATGACTAATTAAAATACGCCCCTATTTTTCGCGATACAATTTCAAGACAATTATAGCTAAGAATACTAAATCGGTTACTAACATGTTCATAGATACTATTTGAAAAACGGGGCAAGTCTTCGATTATTCTTGAATTTTACTTTTGGTATGGTCAAACAAATCAAGTTAAAATCATTTATTTCTATTAGATTTAGGCCTTACACCTTACAGGCACTTTTGAATGTCAAACAAAGCTTAAAGATAAAAACTGTTTGTCTGTCGATCAGTCCTCTTGGTTAAGCTATTAGCTCGTTCCATAATGTAAATTTCTATGGAGAAGAACGAGCAAGAAACTCCATAGTTAAGTACTCTTTTTAAATCAGTTTCACACACATACAAGTTGAGACTGCTGATTTTAAGAACGAAATTAAATTATTTCTTTAAATGAATTTCTTATACTTAATAGATAAGGTTGCATGATTCATCTATAGATCTGTATAGGCAATAGTTTTGTATGAACGGAGAACAGGCAGGCCTGTCGGTCGGGCGCCGTCGCGCCGTCGTGTCGCCGCCGAGTCTGCCCTCCCGTCACAGATACCGTCCACATAAAAAGAGATGCTCCAGATTGCCTCGTAAACTATCGCTGTAGACACTGCGTGTTTGCAGCCTCACCAGTCACTGCCTGCCCATAACTGTTATTCTCCTTTGTTGAGTTAACGGGATAGATATGTTTGATCTTGTGGCTTTTATCTGTTGATGACATTTTCTGTAACTTTGACATGCATTCACAGATGTAGTAAACTGAATCCTATAGACGCAATTTTAAAGATCAGAATGCCATTTATAAGCTTAAGAACAATATAACTTTTTTCCTTTCTATACAGACAACTCACTATAAAGTTCATGGTCTGTAACAGTGGCCCAGACACTCTAATAAACGACTGCCCACTACTATTGGCTCTTTCCATTCGCTTCGAATACTAGAAAGTCGTAAATGTGTTTTCCACGCGATCGTAAACACTTTGACCATCGCACGATCGTAGTACATCAATATCAGATCAGTTACGACTGAATAAAACAGCTTTACACGTTGAGGAAGGACTTACTGCCATACGACTTCCATTCTTACGACAAAGGTATAAAGATAGAATTGGACTAAACAAAATTTCGGTTTACGAGAAATGCAGTTTCGTGCTGCATCAAATTCGTTTTATGAGTGGCATTAGTAGTTGTGAGACTGGACGATAACAATTTATTATTGCACTTTAATTATGAGTCGGTTCGTAATGGATCTGACTGCATTTGAATGTCTGACAGCTATGAGATGCGTAAGTCTTGTTTATTTTCGCGGCTAACTCGTTGAGTGACAGGTAATATCATAATCCTGAGGACAAATACATAGGTAAACCCATTTTTAAGGTAATTTGTTTAGAATTTAAGATTTTCTATTTCACAAAATAAGTTTCAAAATACACCAGGTACATTGGACACTTCGAAAGGCTCGATTGACGAGACCGTCGCTATAAATACATATATCGTTTTAATACAACTAAAAGGTGTATACAAAAGCGACAGGCGCGACATCCATTAATTTCCTCATAATTAATCAAGCAGCACACGAGTATCGACACCCAACACACACAGTAACAACAGACTCATTAAGATTTTAAACATTTAAT